CCAGTGAACCTTGCTTGCTTTATTATTTATTGAGTGTTTACTTTATTGTACTTTTTTGCGCTTGCATGTGTTCACTATTTCTTCTAAGCATGTGGCTTGTCTGGATGTGCTTTCAAAATTAGGCTCTTTAGGATAACAACTTTTCTGTTAAGTGTAATTTTAAAAATTTTATTCTAATAAAACTTAGGATTAAAATTTTATAAGATTTTAAAATCAATAATTTTATGTCCTGTATTTTATTTTCATTCGTGACTTTTAGGCCATTTTTAAAATATTCATAAGTGCATGAATATGTCCTTTTGCATGTTAATAAAGCCCCACACAAAGAATATCTTAAATAATTGCATACATATTGCATGTTCTGAGAGGGACAGCTCTCACTTTCTCAACCCGTCCAGCCTAGTGTATGTTCTATACGCTTTGGTGGTTGTCAGTGCAGTACATGGTGTTGGAAGCTTTCTCGATCTAGACGAGATTGTAAGCCCTTTATATGGCGGCTTAGCTTTCGGTTTTGGTTTCTTCTTCATACTCTTGTCAAATTTAATCCCTACTCTACCTTTTCATTTCAGCTAGAGTCAGAGGAGCTTAGACGTTTTATTCCTTCAACTGTAGGTCCACTAAATCATCTCAAATGATGGAATGCATGGGTTATTGATGAAGCGATTCCAAGCTAGTTTAGGTCGACTATATTCACGACTTGATAGATCTACTGTCTGGATGGCTTGGGATGGCAGGTTCATGGAGCCTCGACCAAGCTATGTCTACCTGTCTAAGCTTTCTTCTACTTACTTGTCGATCTACCGCCTATTTCAGCACTTACATTTCCTTTGTTGGGTCTTAGTGGGCGCATTCACAGTCATGTGACAACTACTTATCAAGTTACGATGATTCACCCTCTACTTGGTTGCCGAGTTTCACCCTCAAGGCCATAGGTTTCCTCTATAGGGACTACCAAAAATCTTTGTGGTTGCCTACACTTCAGAACTTATTAAACAGCCACAACACTTTATCATGAATTTTCTAGAATATTCCCTAGAATATAATTAACCATGAGGATAGATCATTGTGGGAGATATTCTTGAACCGAAAAGAAAATAAATTTAATTTTGTATTCTGGTTTGGCCACGAATGTCTTTTATAGGGTTTTTCTCATAAGAGTCGAGTATGGTATAATTTCTTTTGGACCGCTCTACTTTGATTTAGGATTTTTTCTATATAAACATTTTCATAGGTACTCCTTTTGCTTCTTTGTTTCTTCAATATTTTCTTTTTTTTTTCCCTTTTTTTTCTAAGTTGGGTGACTTAGAAAGAGGGATCTAAAAGTGGCAAATGCTAAGAAGCTCAATGTGGTCAGACCAAAAAGTGGTGCGAACATGGTGCTTGAGCAAAATGACGTGATCATAGTGGACGAGCGTCGGGCGTTGATGGCATGAGGGTGAAAGTTACAAAAGGATAGAGATCATTCAGATCCGGGAAAATGCAATCTAATGTAAAAGGATTACAGAGTAATCTGATTAAGTCCCCTTAAAAATTTTAGTTGCGGCAACCTCCATAAAAATTAATAATATTAAAATATTTCATTAGACGGCCCCCAAAGATCCTTATCCTAATTATGTTTCATGCTCTTGATCTAACTCTTAAAAAAGATCATTTCATACATCCTTGAGATTATCTTATCTAAATTTGATTATAAGTTTATAAAAAATTAGAGTTTAATCAATCCTAAATCGAAGCTCTCAATTATCCAAATAAACAGAGTCGACCACAACCTTGACAGCTTCATGGAAGCAACCGACCTTTCTTATCCACTCAGGTTTGATTTTTCATTCGTGGTTTTTGGCGTCATGTGATGTCGGCTCTCCATCAACCACATGGCTCATCTTATGTTCATCAATAAAGACTACAGAAATCTAGCTAGATTCCATCTGTACATGAACAGACCAATCATTAAATATAATTAAAGCTTGATAAAAAATGACTTAACAGTCTCTGCGGTAATCCCAACCCAATCCCCTTCATAAATGCTGAATCTGAATATTCCCGCATATTTGTTGTTACATTGACCTTAAATTTAATATTTTCTCATTATTTTTAGGCTGTTTTTATTAAAACCATCCCTTCTTATTACAATTAAGTTGCATTTTTTTTTTCTAAGTAAATGTTTGTTGGCAAGGAATCGGTGTGTAGGCTTCAATTCTTAAAATCTAATCGGTATGATTGCTTAAATTTGAACTATTAGGCATTAAACTAGATGGCATGCCATCAAGTTCCTTAAGTGAAGGTAAGACCAATATTTATATGTATGTGTTGAAGCTTTTTTTGTTCTTGTATCAGGAGTAAGTAATAGTATGTACGTAAAGAGAGCGAAGCAGCTTGCAACTGAGTAAATGAACATGACTTTCATAATCAGAGATCCCCTGAATCTAAAAAGTTAGAATACGTTTTTTTCATTTAATATCCTTTTTTATAGAAGCGGGCTTCTCAAAAAAGATAAATATAGTCATTATTTTATCCAGACCTCTAGGGTTACATAACGGTCTTTTTGGTCACATCATCATAAGTATCATGTTCTTCTTCACGATCTCCTTTTTGAAGTCAATTGATAAATGGTGAAAAAATCAGGGGGGTTGTTTGTCTTTACGAATCTTCATGCTCGATTTTTCGTATAGGACTTCCGTACTCGATAATCAACCGGCCTTTGCCCTAACAACTTGCGTTCTGAATTCATCCTCCTGGTTGTTCACTCCTGAACTAATCCCTTTTGGTGTGTTTGTGTTGGGGTGAAAAAAGACTGAAAGTGAGTTGTGTCTGACTAGTTTTAGTGATTGCTTTTGATTGTATATTATGAAAATTTGTTAGTTATCTTCTCTATGAAGTTCTTAAGTGTATATATATTACATTTTGCTAGAATTCTTATGAATAAATACATATGAAATAATAATTTATCTCTATAAAAAATACTAAACAATTTAAGTTGTTATATGATATGGTTCTATTTTAAAGATAATAAATAAATAAAGACTAAATTTGATTGAGATTGATTCCTAGTATATATAATTTGATTTCATTAACTTTCACGGAAATTTTTTAATTCTTGAGAAGAATCTTAAAGAGGCTGTCTTGCAACGGATTTAGAACGAGATTTAATCTAAATCTTCTCATACTATCATTTTTTGATAAGATAAAAGTGTGGATTTAATAAATCCGGATTTCACGAATTTCAGCCTTAAATCCTAAATCACATAAATCAGTAGATTTACGGAATTTACGGGATATACAGTGAGACCAATTGGGATCACTATGAATTTACACAGAACTTTTCGAACAATTTTAATGGATTCGCAAGATTTATAAGATTTGGTTGCCAAATAATTTTTCATACAGGATTTAGTAAATCCGGATTTACAGAATTTACTTATTCCCTACAACTTAAAATAAATACATTATGAGACAACCCCAAAATGCCTGAATTAGAAGATTAGTTGCTTGTAGGCTCCCATGACATGGCCACAAGATACAAGCAAATCCATAGCAGATTTTTTCATTGGCATGACTCAATTCACAGTAAAATGTAATATTTTGAATCTTCATAATATTATTATGCTATTAAAGCCTTCACAAAATTAAAGTTCTCAATTTTTAAATTTTAAAATAAAAAATTTTTTTAGAAAATTTTAAATAAATTTACAAAACTTAAAATTAATATTAGGAAAAAATTATACACAGCTCTCAAAACTTCTCTATTTATAAAACTAACATCCATGTCGTTTTTTGAACGATCAAGTTCTATATTTACAAGTGAAAAATATGAGTTGTGCAGGTTTTATAAATTGCCATGTTTTGCTTTGAATGCTATGTATGTCAGAAGATGACTTCAAACCTTAGAAATCAAAAGGGCTGCTGATATTAATTAGAGGGAGATTACGTGGTTGCTTCTATTGTTTTGTAGTGAACAAGACAATAAGCAAGTGCCAGCAATTTAGAATATAAGAAGGAAGAAAATGTGCCTTCTCCTTCTGAGAAGCAAAGTCTATTTCAGCAAACATTTTCTTATGGTGATGTAAGAATTTCCTATGCATTTTCTTAGTTAATTAGAGTCTAGAAAAAGGGACATTTACATACATGGCACATAATTCATATGTATTTACTTGTCTAACAGCTAAACTTCAATATTTATATTGATGACACTCAAATCTTTAGTATCATATAAAGCATATCACCTTACTAACCTTTTAAATGTGTTATAAATGCGAATATCATACTTTAGCCATTATATTTGTAAATCCATAAGAACTGTGGCATGCACGTAAATTTCCCAAGAAAAAGGGGAAAAAATAAAAATGTGACCCAGCTTATTGTCAATTGGATCAGTTTTTAGAAATCAACAATCTGATCAATTAATGAGCCAGCTTTGATTTCACATAAATATGATTCTAGAAGCATGTACATGCACTTAAATCTTCAGCATAATTCTTTAATCACTAAGATTTATGTATCTATATATAATACATGCTAGGGCTGTAAACGAGCCGAGCTTGAGCGAGCTCAGACTCAGACTTGGCTAGTGTTCGGCTCATTCAAAATTGTTCGTGTTCAAAACCGGCTCGTGAACAGTGCGTTCGTGTTCGGCTCAAAATTGGTTAGTTAAAATTAAACTGAAAAAATAAATGTTGAGTGCTAGATTTGAACATGGACCAAATGAATGTAAAAGAAGACGCATAACTACATTATCACATGAGTAGTTACGTTTTAAATTAAATATAAATATATATAATATATTATTATATAAATAATATATGTAATATTATATATATATTTATTTATTTATTTCGAGCTAAAACGAGTCGAACACGAGCAAACATCGCGAACAACGAGCTTTTTTGACAGCCCTAATACATGCTCTACCAAATGCGCCATAAAAATAAGTCCAATTTGACAAAATCAAAAAATTCAAAATACCAATATCATGGCCATAACATAGTACAATTTTCAGGCGATTCTTAAATCACACATGAAAAAATATTATGACATTAAGATCAATTAGGTAGAAAACAATGGCAATGCAACCACAAAAAATGTAAATAAAAAAAAGGCAAGTCTTTAGAGCTACAGAATAAAGATAAAAGTAGCAGTTCCTATCATCAAGCTAACCTAACCAGAGTTAAAAAGACCCACGCCGTGGTCTTTCCTCGGCAACATTCACTCGAATAGTCCGGCCGTCCAATGTCTGCATCACCAAGGAAACAAAAATCAGCACTGCAGCACACAAATGAGACATAAAATATGCCTCCAATAATGTTGGATGAAATAGAAAGTATAAATGCTCTTTAAGAATGAAAGAATTTGCAATTTCAATAGTTTGTCAAATTAAAACTTAAGAACTGATGTTATGAAGAAGTAGTACATAATGCAAATCCAAAGACTAATTATTGGATATAAAGATCAAATCCATTCATGTTATTTTACCTCTTTTTTTGTTTTCCAAGTTCATTTCAAGGAAAATATGCCTATGATGATGGCTTTTATATGCATTATTTGACTGCTTGTAGATCTAGATTTCATTTTAGAGTGTGAAGGGTTTATTGTAACTCATTTCGTGAGTGAAAATATAATAGTTAAATTTAGTTTGTGGAGTTTGTAACCTATATTAATTTTTAAGTGCGCCTAATTAAATGCAAAAATCTAGAAAAATTATTGACATTTGAAAATGCAATTAATCATATTTGAAATCTTCTCTGTCTGTAATTTCAGTTGGCATGAATTGTCAAAATATTGGAATGCTATTTTCTTTCGGGGCATTGACAGATGATATATACCAACTAATTCCTAAGTATTTACATATCTAACACTTAAACTTTACTTTTTACAATTATAACAACCAAATCTTTCATATCACATTAAAAATACTACTATTTTAACTTCTAAGAAATGAAATACACCTTTTCATGCATATGCCAGTTGGCATCTATGTAAATATGTAAATACACATGACTTAAGAGGTATGTATCCTGTTGGCTTCTTATGTGAAACTGGTTATAATTTAATGGCTACAATCTAAAAAAGTTTATGTTCGCATCCTGGTGCTAAAGAAGGTAGCACAATAAGCCAAAATTCCTATATAGTAACCTCTTAAAAATTCACTGCTGCATAGGAGTTACATTCACATCATAGCCATCCTGCCTCAGTTTGTTCTAGTATTAATTTATATAATAGAAAGAGCTCATCATCTGCTTCAGACATTCCTCCAAACATAAAAAAATGAATTTCAAGTGATAGAAATGTATGAGAGTGAACTTTAGATGTTTGATATGTAAATACGTAAAAATTGAGTGGTACGCATGTAAATGCCCCTTCCAAACAAAAGCTGCAATAAGACAGTAAGAATCTAAACTAAAGATATCATGTTGCAGGCAGCAAAGTATATTAGTAAATGATGAGGAATATGCCCACTCCACCCTTAAAAGTCAAGAAAATTGAAGTCATTAAGCAAATTAGTGCATCTAACTTAAAGTAAATTATTGCTACAGTAATCTTAATACTTGTGACCAAAGTATTTGCAAGACAAATAATAGGAGGGACTGCCCTCAAGTCAACCTTCTATCAATATAACCACTTAAACGAACCCATCCTAATATCCCGTTTCTAAGAAAAAATAATAACATCCATTTCAACCAGGATCCGAGGCACACATGGCCCAGAGATCCTAGCACTAACATCATCCACTTCTACAAGTTTACCAAAATACAAAACCAAAGGAATATAAAGCGGGTTGTTTAAAAGTGGTGGACCCAAATATGAGTTGTAGATAGGGGTGTGAACGAGCCGGATACGAAGGAGCCCATACTCAGCTCGTGTTCGGCTCATTTATATTTCAAGCTCAAAAAGTGTGTTCGTATTCGGCTCATTTGCTTAGCGAGCCGAACACGAGTTGTTCACAAACAAAGGGTCGTTTTTTTATAACCCTAATCACGTAGCCAAAAGATGTTAAGGGTTGGGGTTCATAAGATGTTAAGGGTTGGGGTAAGATTTAAAAATTATTATTTATATTAAAACATCATTTGATTCTGATTTAATAATTTTTATTCTATTTTCTTAATTTAAACTTTTAATTGATTATAAATCTTTGTAGCCTTGTAGTCAATTAAAATTTTTAAAAATACTACTCATCAATATATATATATATAACGAGCCGAACACAAAAGAACAAATCTTTGTTTGTGTTTGGCTCGTTCGCTAATATAGATAATTGAAAAGTAGTATTTTGAGCGAAAACGTGTCGAACACTTTGTTTGTGTTTGGCTCGTTCGCTAATATAGATATAATTGAAGAGTAGTATTTTGAGCCAAAACGTGTCGAACACAAACAAACAAATCTTTTCGTGTTCGGCTCGCTAACTTAGGGCACCA